ATAAACCTTAAATATGTAGGACTAAAAAAAAACATGCAGAAAATTAAAAGTTAAACGTCTAAAACAACCATAATTAAATATAACGATACACGAGACTAAAATTGAATACGGGTAAAATATGGAGACATAATAGGAACACAAAAACAATGATTTAAGGAACAAAACGCGTGAAACTAAAAATTTGGATGGCCCCTAAAATAGATAACCCATAAGTGAATAATCAAACTCCCCTAGACTAAGCACTACTGTTTTGATGTACTAACTAAAGCCTAATATTTAACTTAAAAAACAAAACCACGTTAATCCTAAACTTTTCTCTCCTCTATGCGCCGCTTATCCTCTTCCAAACAGCATCTCATCTTATTTTCTTCTTTGGTGGTACACGAAACCAGATTCCAACAGAACCAAAGCCGGCTATCGAGCTATGGCACCTCTCGTCATCACTCACCAGCACATATCGAAGGCTCCCCTTTTCAAACTTCAATCGGTGTTAAACTCCCAACTAAAACACCCTATAAATTTCTAGTCAAGGAATCCAAACGACAACCCCGAATAAACCGAAACCTCCTCAACCGATTCCCCTAAAAGCTACCCAAAATCCTGGTTCAAAACCTTAAAGGAGGAAAATAATTACCCTCGGTGACCTATGACATCTGACTACCGAGAAACACCCCGACAACAACCCCGACGCCCGATCAAGGTAAGTTATCTTTCTCTCTCACTCTTACTAATTTTAATTCAAAAAAAATTTCATTTACTAATATTAACATCAGATTTTTTTTTGGTGACTAGACTGGAACAGTTATAACATGGAGTTACCAACTGGAATTTGAACGACTTAGATAAACCCATCCCAGATCATCTTTGTTTTATTATAATTTTTATATCGACCTAATTATTTTGCTTATGATGGAACATGCATTGATTTCTTTGGGTTAGTTACTGGAATATGAAAATGATTATAAACATAGAGAACATATTGTTCTACTGCTGATTTGGGTTTAAAAAAATAAATAAAGAACATGTATTGGAAATTAAAAACCAAACTAGGATTACCTCCAAAATGATTTTATTGCTTTTGAATTGAAAGATGGAATATTTTCCCTGTTTTCAGTTGTTTTCTTAAAGAAAAATAAACACCTCTCCTTTTTTTTCCGAATGGGATTCCCCTCTATTTTATCTCCATTTTCTTCACCAAATTCCTTTGTCGTTGCATGTTGATTTTCTTCATTTTGGTGAGACTTTGATTGGAGCAGGTAAAGTGAAATCCCGAAATTTTCGGGATTAAATTGCTTTCTTTTTCTTCTGACTTTGGTTGATGTTGATGATATTTTGATTTCTTGTTTGCTATTGGGTGCAGATTTGGTGGGGAGAATGGCGTGCGTTACTGGCTTCACGTGGGAGGCATGAGTGGTGGCAACCTTCTCTCATTTTCTTCTATTCCCCTTTTTTTTTAATCTCCTCATTTTCAATCTTGCGTGTAGTTGGAGTTGTGAATTGGGATAGATGAAATGTTGACAGGACATGGGTCTACTCAATTAGTAGTGCTTCACATGGGGTGCTGCAAAATATGTAATAATAATAAGTAATAATAATAATAATATTTATATTTAGGACGGAAAAAACGAGTGTCAACACCGACAAATCACTCGTGACTGCATAATTATATCTCTAAATATCAAAAGAGTAAAGAAAGCCGAATTAATCCTAAACCTTTTTTTATTATGCTTAATCTCAACGTATTAAGAATTTGAGGTAATCTCTTTTAAAGATAGTTAAGTAATCTATCAATCATACACCTTTAACCAAATAATAAGAATAAAAATGTTATTTTTATTATTATTAATTTGAAGTGATTTAAGATTATATATGTTCGAAAGAATTTTAGCTATTTGACAATGAATATTCAACCATCCTTCTATAGAACATACTCGAATTCAGAACTTCAAGAGATAATAATTTTCATTTTAATTATTGCATTGAAATCGTTTAATTCATATACAAGAATAAAAATATTATATATGCAACTGGCTGGTTAGAATTTTTTACGTGTATAGTTAATCAGCTTGAAATAAATCGAAATAGACGAAAAATGAATTGGACCGCAGTCGAGCCCGACGCATGGAATGTTATAGTGACAGTCAGAGGGAGATGCGAGTGAAGTAAACACTACCAGTTCTGTTTATTACCAAAAGTATATCGCTATACGAATTTTAGACATTAGAAGGCTTCAGAGGTAATGAAACTGAAATGAAAATGCTTAATATTAATGCATATTCCCATTTAATATTTATATGGTCCAGTCGGCCCTACTCATCGATATTCAATAAAGATGATGCTTAAAATTTTCATCTACCATTGTTAGAACAACCTAAGACCAAACATTCAATACTTTAGTTATCTACACTTGTACTCATGAATATTGTATAATCCTTAACATTTTTAAAAGATTAATATATATCCAATATCAAACACATTCAACATATATTTAAAATAATTCATTTAAAGTCTGATAAAGTAATTTTTTAATAGTCTGGAGTGATTATTAGGTAATATATATTAAGATTCTTAGTCATTGATAATGGACATACCTCATGTATCTATTTGAACTCGAATCCTTTAAAGAGAACAACATTCCCTTTTACTACTAAGATCACTCAACGAGTTTAAATCTGATAAAATAATTAATCATCAACAGTAGCATATCCATAAAATATTTGAGGGTTTCTAAAATAACCAGGCTTTCCGTTGCATAATGCAGTAATTACACCTCTCAAATAGAGTAACAAAGTGTCATAATTTCACTATAAAACGGGTCGGAATCGAAGAAGATTTCCCATGAGACGAGAGGTAATATGAAGAAGAAAATGGGTAAGGCAACAACATTGCTTGTGTTGTTTCTCATGGCCATTACCCTGAGTGAAGGAGCAAGGGATACCCCAGTGAAAGACGAAATTTACAGCCCCCAAGGTCTCCTTGGTCCTTGGGGCCTTCCTTTGTTTGGCTTGCCACTTCCCTTCCTTAAGCCACCATGGCTTGGACTGCTGCGGAGGTCTGTTTGCATTCCTTGGGACACCTAAAGCTGGGGCATCCCTTTATAAGGTCGCCAAAGCTGATGGAAATGCCATTGACCCTTCACCGTGACCCTCCGGTGAGAGTTTGTAGTCGCCATGGTGTTCACAGCCGCCGGTTTCGATGTAGCCATCAATAAAAAGTGCCGAAATCCTGGAATTGACACCTTATGGTTTAATGGAATGGTACCACCTAGTTTGAGTAGGAGCTATGTTTTGTGCTTATAGTACTTAATCAATGGAAAGTTCACAAGCTTCTAGCGTTCTTTCCCTTATGATATCATCTGTCAACAAATAATTCAGAGAGATCTCTAAATATGTGATAGATTCCAAACAAATGATCCCATCACACCTCATGTTCATCCAAAGAAAAAATTCATATTCATGTCTAAAATTATAGTTTGTCCTCTAAAAAATACTTTTTAACGGTAACATTAAACATTTAAATCTTAAACTAAATAATCCTGAGGTGCTATGCAAAAGCACATTTCAAAAATAATAGTAATAAGTAGGGTCGTAAACAAGCCAAGTCGAGTTCGAGTATTGCTGAGATCGACTTGAAAAGCTCGTAAGCTTAAATTGTCAAGTTCGATTCAAAATCGAAACTAAAAATTGAAGCTCGAGCTCAAAAAACTTGGATTTGAAACATTCTCAGACTTAACTCGATTGAAGCTCGAACTCTAGCTTGAATCTGAACCTTAAGTGCATGAAACCATTATCTTGCATTTTTCAAAAAATAACAACATATAAATATCAATATTATTAACAATTTAATTTTAAAAATTAAAAATTTAATATATTATTTTTCAAATTGCTCGCAAGCTTTTCAAGCAAAGTATAGAACTTGCATCATTCACAAACGTCAGGTTTTAAACTCTTGAACTTGCTTAAGAGATCTAGTGTCTCATCCCATTAGACCAACTGATTATTAGTATTTGTTTCGTCTCATTTACAACCTAAGAAGTATAGAAACAAAAGCAGCCTAAAATCATCGATTTAATTTCCTTTACTGTACATAAATATTTGACCGAAATTAATTTGATACCACTATTGATATATATGGATGTTTTACAATCTTGAATATAATCTCTGTTTGAAAAAAATGATTATAAAATATAGTTGATAATTTTATTCTTTTATAAAGGAAACGTTTTAAATACATTTAATTAAAATCCAATATTTTAAAGGGCTTATTGCCTAAAAAAGCCAAATATTATCCCTTATCAATTTGTGTATATTTTAATATTAAATCATATTTTTATGGTACAATTCTTGTATGTAAAAAAGTGATTTTTGTAACCATGTTTAAGTGTGACCCTGGAACTGAATCAAAGAAATATTTCACTAGCTTTAAGCTACCATTCTCTAACCTTTGGAGCTTTTGGGTGTGTTTTCCGATGGAGAAATCAGCAGATGTTGTAAGGGAACAAGGACAGACGTATGACTTTACTGAAAAATTATTAAACATATTTTAAAATAATAATAAATATTATTACGATGGTTTTTTACTTTTTTTTATCTAATATCTAAAATAATAAACTAAAAAGCTCATTAAAAGGTATGAACAAGAATATATATATATATATATATATATATATATATACTTTCACTCCAATTTCATTTGTTAATTATTTTTTCATAATCATTTCCTTTAATTATTTTCTTTCACTAACATATAAAATCTATAGGACAATATTGGATTTAGAGTACATGGTTGTCTTGAGATTAAAAAATACTATTCAGATTTGGAAATGTTGTTTGACGGGTGGGAATTTTGGTTAGCAACAAGACAACAGTTTGATGAACTGAGCTGAGGCAAATTTGTGACATTAAAGTAAGAGAGAAAGCTAATGAGAGTTGGGGATTACAACTTTATATCATAGACCACAAATTTATCTTGCTCCTATAGGGGGAAGCAAAAAACACTTGCATTCCTTCCTCCCTTGTCTCATCATAACCATTGCATAGGGCTTTGCCTCACTCAATCTCCCAACATGCATCCAAAAGCTTGCATTCCTTCCTCCCTTGTCTCATCATAACCATTGCATAGGGCTTTGCCTCACTCAATATCCCAACATGCATCCAAAAGCAATTACTTGATTAACAAAATGCACCACATAACATTAACCCCTTAAAGGGAAAAAGGGATCCTACTTACTTGCAACCTAACGTTTCTCCATCCTTTGATTTCAACAAGATCATGAAGCCATTTTTTTTCAATAAAGCTGAACCCCGGGGGGGGGGGTACCAAGAAGAACCGTTACATGCATGGCCTTATAAGCCCAATCACAGTCCAGCTAATCTAGTAGGAATGTCCAGACCAGCAACAACCATTTGCTAGAACTCTGAACGTCAGCCTCTTGATTCCAATGCCAGAATTATCTTCTTTATTGGGCCCTGGAAGTAAACCACAAAACCTTCCTGAAAACCAAGTACAGGGATAGAAGAGAAAACAAGTAGGAGAATGGGAAAATATAGTACTTCCTACACATGCATGTAACACAAAAAGGGAGAGAGAAAATATGGGTTGCAGAGTGAAGGAAGTAGCATATATTTTCAAATTAACTTTGACACAAATCAAAGATTTTCTAGGACTCTTATACATACCAAAAGTTCCAATTTACACATTTAAAAACAAATAATATATTAAATCCAACAATAGCGTCAAATCAGGAAGAAAGCAAGCAAAAATAGGGCTTTTCCTTGGTCATTAAAAATAATAATATTTTCATAGGTTAAGCACGGCATGCCTTTACTTTTGCAACAAAGCAAATTGGAAAACTGGAGAAAACAAGAGGTAAAGTCAAATCCCTCAGCAACCAAGACAAGCATTAAGTACGGCTTAGTTGTATAGCAAATTGAATATATAAGAATTGTGGATTCACATATTAAAGTTTCGCTTGAATTTACCATTGGTATGCCTAATGCTTTCAGATCATCATCAGTCATGTGTACAAGAGCTGTCATATCAACCTGCAGAAGGAGACTTGTGTCTTATAGATATAGCGGAGGCAGAAATTACTTTAATTTAGGCAGTGATTAAAAATATGAAAAGAAGCAAGTGAGAGAGAATACAAAAGAAAGCATAAAACTACATACTTCCTGAACTTGAAAAGTAATCGCATATTTTTCAAGACCCAAAGACTGGAGGAAGTCCTCCACTGATGCATCAGCCTGCTTAAGAAATTACACTGCTTAGACACTAAAATATAACCATCACGTGTTAGCAAGAAAACATGATTGTGTGTGTTTGTGTGTTGTGAGTGCGGGGGGTAGCTCTTAAGTTGCAGCTAAAACGGCTAACATATGAAGGTAAATCTAGTGCACTTCATCATGAGTTGCAAACCGATATACGAGTCCTAAAAATGTGCAAAACACCTCTGACAGGAGGAAAACAGGGGAGACAAAACAAAGTTTTGCTTCAAATTTATCATGCTCATCAGTTAACAAATAACAAACACAGAATGGATTTTCAAGGTATAACAATATCATGTCTCATATCATGCTATACTGAAACAAAAACCAGCCATTTCTTGCATTGTGGTTGTGGAGAACTTAGGGATGGGCGGGAAAGGGTGAAAGTATTTGGATGGACCCTATATTGACTGGTTTAAATTAGTACCTCTACTATTAAATGAGTCAATTTAACCCCTGTACTAGTAAAAAAAATCAAACAAGGCCAATTTTTTACAGAGTTACAATTTACTGTTTAAATTTTTTCAATCATTGTTTAAAAGAGTTAATATTTTGAAAGCTCTTATCGTTCTACAAATGAAATCCTTTTTTTTTCGGAGTTGAAATGCAAAGGGCGAAAAATAATTTTTCTGTCAGTTTTAAACAGAAATGTTAACTCTGTTAAAATTTAGCCTTATTTGATTCTTTTTACTAGTACATGGATTAAGTTGATCCATTTAATAATAGAGGGACTAACTTGAACCAGTCCCTATAATAAAGGGACCTGACATGTACTTTCACAGGATTAAAAGGAGGGGGAGGGGTGAGGTGGGTTGGGTTGGGTTGGTGATGTCCCTAAGAGGTAAAAGATGGTAAGAGAAGATAATAATAAGTGAGGAAGTTCTATACCTTTTGCTGAGCCTTCTTCTTTGTCGTTGTAGTTGCAGCCTTTTTGGGCTCTAGTTCAGAGGTTTCAACCGCTACAGTTCTCTTGGCTGGTTTGGCAGCATCTGATGTTAATTTTGGTGGATCAGCATTTACTGGCCTCGGATTCATTGTTCCAGATAATTTGTCACGAAGATCACGCACACCTGAGAGAGCACCCCTTCCACTTTGAGAAACCTGTTGGAGACTTTTCCTTTGGAGCTTCAATCGAAGATCTCGAACATCGACTTTGCTATCTTCACTAACCATTAACACAGAGTCAAAAAAAATACAACATAATTTAGTTGCATACGACTATAGCAGCCATATTTTAGTTGCATGTGATTGTGTCAGGCAATCCATACTTGAAACTTGAGGTACATAATCTGTTATGATTTAGGATAGAATGATAGAAGAAATTTTTAGGGATTTAAGAAAATAGAGAGAATAGGTTACAGAAAACGTGCATTCATTTCATAAGATAATTCCTAAGGAAATTGGTACAAATTATATATAAACAGGTATCAGCTGTCAGAACAGAAAATCTATCAAAATAACTGCCTATATGCTGACTCATCACCAATTCTCTACCCTGATATTATTCTAACAGATTATAGCCCAAATGTTTAGGTCCACCTGTATACTTAATTGAGCTAAGTCCATTAGGCCCAACTATTCCTCCACCCGTATATACCCCAGCCTTGCTCTCCTAACCCATCTCCTGTCTCATTTCACTCCCAATCCCCTCAGATAATATATCAATCCCTAGCCTCCTTTTAATCCCTAATTCCGTTCGATCCTCCCCCAAATTCTTCTGCTATAACCCTAATTCCTCTCTTCGATTTTCCCCCAAATCAATTCCTTCAAACCCTAACTCACCCTCCATCGTGACATAATCTTGGTAAAGATCATATTCCCACTTCTCATCCTGCCTCTGCCTGCATAAGATATAGAGGTGTAAATGAGCCAAGTCGAACTCGAGTATTGTTAAACTCGACACGACTCGAAAACTCTGAAATTGAGCTCGACTCGACTCGAAAATTTGCGAGCTTAAAATTTTTAAGCTCAACTCGAACTCAAAATCCTGAACTGAAGCTCGTGAGCAGCTCGAAATGAAAAAAAAATTCTTAAACTTAACTCGATTGAAGCCTCAAACTCAAACTCGAAATTGAACTTTAAATGCATGAAAATCTTAATGTATTCTCTTTAAAAAAATCAATACATAAATATTAATATATATATTTTTAAAAATATAATCTTATATATTATATTTTCGAGTTGCTCACGAGTTTTTAGAGTAGAGTATCAAGTAATTCGTTTCAGCTCGTTAATAATTCGAGTCGAGCTCGAGTCCATTCAATCCGAGTATTTATCGAGCCTTGATCGAGTCAATAGCAAATAACTTACGATCTGTCTCATCTCATTTACAGCCTAATAAGATATGACATGAAAGATGTTCACAGATTAGGAAATAAAGGTTAAAGGGTTAAATAAGTCAAATTCGACTTCTTTCTTTGGGTAAAAAAGTGACAACCAAATTCAACTAATGGCAGAGCAACAAACATTTTTTGAAAGCTAAAATTTGAAGAAGAACAAGAAGAAGGGTAAAAAAATGCCTTCCGGCTCCGAATTACCCACAACCCTCTGCCCCCAACCGCTTTCTCAATGCATCGTACTTAATTTTAAAGATCCAGAAAAGGAACAAGACAAATTAGCTCCTGAACTTAATGAATTCAAATAATAACCGTGGTTTTTTTTATTATTATAGCTAAAATGATCTTACATCCGATGCAATTGTGAAGACTATCTCAAATTCTTCAAAGAAAATTATGCTCAAACAAATCCAGCAGCAAAATTTATTCAACATCCAAAGTTTCAACGCAGAGGGGAACAGTTATCAAGGTAAAGCAAATAAATGAAAGGAAAATTCCCATAAGTCCTTCATTCCCAATCATCCCTGAAGAAACAAACAGAAAAAGAAGAGAAACCCCAACCTCTTGCCAGTGATTTGACGATGGGGAATATAGTTAACGAAGGAGTTGCCATTAAGTCTCTCCTTTACCGACCTTTTTCCAGCACCCTTCACTTGATCACCATACATCTCTATCCACTATATAAATAAAGAAGAGGGGGGAAACCAAACCCTAAACTTTATAAAAGAAAACAATGGACGAAAAGAGATGGTTTTCCAAAATTGAAATCCTAGCAATCGTGAGGAAGACAAAAGAGAAGAAGAAAACAAACCCTTATTTTTGTAGAAGTGAATCAACTAAAGGCATTTTTGAATCTATTTGTCACCAATTTCAAGGTTTTCTGCTTAATCTATTTTTGGGCTTCCGAATTTTGAAGCAACGCCGCCAAGGGACCATCCGGGAAATTTTAGTATGCTCCTTCACAATTACATCAGCCATTGCAGTAGCAGTAAAACGCCGCCGTTTTAGTCTCGGCCCATGAGCCCAAAATCCAAAGTTGGGTGGGTGTGAGGTAGGGCATTTTCTCCGATTTTATGTACTTTATATTTTTTATTCACCATTTAGATTTTCCCCACTTTCCCCACTCTCAAATCGAAAGATATTAAACGATTAAAATTTCTATTTCAGTTTGGTTCGATCCAATGACTAGCTTTAATGAATTGTGGCAAATCCGGTCCAAACTCTAGCTTAGTTCATCTAACTCTTCATTTTCCTTCTTGTATCCATTTTCAATGTATATTATTTTTTCTAAATAATCTAAGACGATTATAACTCGGTATTTGTTCATAATTTTCTTTAACCATTGACAATGCAAACATACTTTGCAGATTCAAACCCAATATCTTAAGGAATAACATCAATCCCTTTAATCACTGAGACCACCCGATAGGTTTCATTTCCAACGTATATTAACACATTGGTATAAGTGTACATGTGTATGGTTCTCCAAATAAACAACTTGTATATTACATATCCATATCCAGTACTTATCTCGAATCAATACAAACATCGGCTTATCATGTTTTAGCAGTATGAGTTACTGAATCAAGAAACAATCATGGCAAAACATGCCAGATTCGAAAACCTTATCAATTTTCTTTATCCAGCCCTATATATAATTGCTCAAGCCCTTACATTCAACTAGATGAAAATGCGCATAATTTTGCAGAACAAAGTTTAGTTCACATTTTCAGGAAAGATGTGTATGACTGAAAGTTTCAAAACTAAAACAAAATAATCAATAGCTCAAAATGATACAAAATCCTTCTCCACTAAATCTGCGGTACACTATTCTTTCATTTTGCTCATATTGTACACTGAAACTTCTATATCTTCATGAAATATAGTATTGCCAGCATACGGCGAGTCCAGCTACAAGTACGACCTTGAGTACTAATTTAGAGTTAACAAGGGATGATGAACCTGGGGGCGGATGAGGAGGTTCCGGACGCCTACCTCTAAGCTTGGCTGACAACTTTGATAGCAGCAGAGGTATCCGACCAGTTTTCTTGGCAGCTGCAAGCCAAAATATGAAAGGCAAACATCAGAAAGAGGAAGATGAGATAGCTGAACAAAAGCTGCAATCACGACATTAATACTGGTTTACCAAACCATAAAAAAATTGGTTTACAGCGGCTGCTTCTGATCTTCTTTTTAATTACCTTTCAAACCAAAATTCTTCAGATATGGATGCTTAGCAGGTATTGGACCATTCAAACCAAAGCAACAGCATGCAGTGTAGAGATTAACTCGGCTACGACAATAAAAGAAATTGTTGTTTTCTTTCTCTCTTTTTCCCCTTTCTTTTTCATTTTGAAGTTTATCATTTCATGTTTTTATTTAGTTTGATCCTTGGACACCACCATGCATGCAATCTTTCAGGCCTTTTACAACTATAGATCATACACGAGAGGTGCAATCTCCAAAGAAATTGAAGTTCTAAAAACATGTCAAAGAATAATCAGAGAGAAACAGCATTCCAATTTCCCAAAAAGAAACATAGATACACAAATCAGAATAAGAAAGAAGCCATTATTATTCTGTTGTCAAACGACTGGAAAGGACCATAAAATTTAAGAATGATTGCGACACCTTTCATCTCAGGTCCATCTCCAAATCTACTCATCTGACCATTTGACTAAGTATTTAAATAAATGGATATACATGACCTTTACAATTTACAAGATGCTACCAAAGTTTGCATAGACCTTTCCAAATTGGACTTTTGTGGTATTGACCAACTACACATAAGGGGCTATTGCCATGATATTGTAGGATATTAATGTTATGATTTAACAATAATTACGAAAACCACATTGTCAGAGCACGTATATGACCTATTCCATGAGGTAAACTTACCTTTTTCTTTAAGAAATCTCTCCTCCTCGGCAACACGCCTTCGTAGTGCATTGAGCAACGATCCAAAATACAATGCAAACACTGTGCATGTGATTGTGATAACGTTGTAAGGCATGCTAAAATCAGGAGTTGTCAAAGGTACCAGTAATACTTCTGTGTAAGACATGACAGGACTCTTTTCCTGCATGACAGATCAAGCAAATGCCAAATGAGAAGAATACAAATAGATTAGGTTTAAGACCAGAAATCTCGAGAGGTAATACCTGAAACTTTGACAGCAAGGGTGACTTGTTCAAATAGTCATTTTCAAGGAAAACCATGCTTGCATGGAAGTTGGGAAAGCTTACAATAGCTGATGGTATGTCAAATCCTTGATTAGCATCAGGGGGGTACTCATCAATATGTAAAAAACCCTATTCATACAAATCAATAAAGAGGATCAACTAATCAACAACAAAACAAGATGCAGAAATAAAATATAGTTTGTTCCATCATGCAAGAAGCAAACTATTCTTCTTTCAATTTGAAATTGTTAACTTCATAAAAATTAGATGGTCATCATCCAAAAACAGAGAATGTTTTAGGCTGATAGTGGTATATAAGGTCTGCAGCTACTGGTCAAATTTCTACTGAAGCATCAGCTTCTGCAATAAAAGGTTTTCTAACATTGCAATGAAATATATATTATAAGACAAAATATTATTTGAGGATGATGGGTGCAACCTACGGTAATTTATCCCTTTTTTGACATAAAGATGATCCAATTTTAAGGCATTGATAAGTTTCACCATACGCATCCAGCTCAAAGAATAGGCAGTGGGTTGAGAATATAGAGATGGGGCTAGGTCTGTGTTCAAAAATATCTATTGCTAATATTAGGTATACTCACAACATTCAAATTTCCAACTTATATGGATGCTCTATCAGAAATACGTTTTACAAAAACAGATTTTCCATCTTAAGCTAAAATATTGAACTCCAATACAGCATCAGAAATACTCACCATACTCGGTGCTGATATCACCTAGTTTAACATATTACCTTTATGTAGCACTACCACATTTGAAGTTTTAACAGTCCTTAACGAATGCACTTCTTAGGTAAAAACAATAACTTGTATTTGACTAGATCAACTACTAGCTAGATAAGGATAACGAAAAGCACACCTTATCAAACTCTATTGTTAACGCAGCTGAGCTCACGTTGCAAGGAAGTTTCAGAGCCAACTCCATCACACCAGGAGACACTTTGTCTTTGGAAGGCGAAACATGTATCGTCCCAATAATATCTGAAACGGCCTTAGGTTGTTGATCAACAAACACTTGCAGAGAATGGAAATATACCTTAACATACCAAGGCACAACTTGAAAAACATCAACTCGCAATTCACACCTTTCACCATCAAAATTAGCACCCATGGAGCCCTCACTCGGTTGTGTAGATATTAGGGAGATAGCAATGGCACCCCTCTCATTTCCACTTCCCATCAAGAACCTGCTAGCATGTAATGGTGCTTGTTGACACATCCAACCTACAGGAATCTTCCAAGTAAGGCCAAGATCAAATGGCTTGAATTCACTGTATTTCTCAATTTCAAACTTGTACAAAATGGAAGAATTCTTGCTAAGCAAACTGCTTTCTTCTATAAATATCCTGTCTGGTTTAGCAGACAACTCAAAGTTGGAATTGGTCCAAAAGTTCTCAGATGTCAAAACAATTTCTGCTGACTTCTCATTTTCTTTATGTAGTTGTTTTAGTTCAGCAACTAAGCTCCTGTCAAGTAGAAGGTACACATTACTAGTCTCTGCAAGAACACATTTTCCATTAACTTCTTTCCCAAAAATTGAACTAAGAGACCAGCTTGGTTGAATATGTTTTTCACTAGTACGAGCCAGACTTGCCCTTTGAATATTAGGCTGGAGGACAACTGTAAGTGTTTGTTCTAATATGATACCTAGGTCCATCCCCTCGGAACTAAATCCAGTTGAGGTAAGATGCAACCTCTGAGAATGGTAAAATCCTCTGTAAATTGATGGCCTATCAAGTAACATGGAAATCCCAGCTTTGTCCCGACAAGGAAGCAGTTTCATCCACGGAGTTAGATTCTCTGTGCAAACGGCTTCACGGGGCAATGTACCATATCTCAGATTGCCCAAAGCAGGTGGAAAACTCCACTCGGGGGCAGAATAAGATGTGCTAGACTCTAGGAAATTGATTGAGGCACAGAAAAGACCAGAAAGAGTGTGTGTTAAATTCTTCCACAAAGCATCAATCAGATGTTGTGGGACATCAAAGACAGCCCATAGCTCAACCCCAGGGGGCTTTGCATTGCTGCTTGGAATGGAATCAAATCCACCCCAGCTCTCATAATTCCAGCGCCCTTGTGTGAAAGACAGCTCCATTTCCTTAACTCGAAATTTCTGAACCTGTTCAAAGATGTTCATAATTATCCATTGTTTTCAAATACTGCAAAGACTTAACTTTTTGTTGTAAGGGAAGGACAGTGGGCCTATAAAAAAACTAGAGTAATACTTTAAATTAAATTATCTGCAACAAAGCTACTTATCTTAATTGCTAATTACTTAAATTTTCAACAAAAAAACTATTTATCAAAACTATTGGCTTTTACTAACACAGAGAAATAAGAATTACAGGAACATATATACAATCGGTGCATAATAATTTTCAGGTAAACTTGTAGCCAAGTTTATACTTCATGTTAGACATAACATTGCAGAAAACATCGTGTGTAAGAACATTTCATCCTCGTGATTTATGAATCCTGAGAACAATGAAATAACATCTTGCTTCGGAAAATAGCAGAGACAGGTTTAATGAAATTTTTAACAGTACAAGTAAATATGAAGGTCTTAAAGGAAACACAAAGAGCCCTTATGAATTTTCTAGACTACGCCAAGCTGAATGCCCCTG